GGGAAGAGAGCTGTGATTCTCAGGGTGAGGAAGGGAGGGTGGAAACTGGGGCACGCCCTGAGGGGACTGCTTCTCCTGTGAAAGATCCCTTCTGTACCTGGGAAATGTCAGCAGAGGATGAGCTTTCATCTTCGTCTTGGACATTGTAGCTCCTCTTAGAATCATCCCAGTACCCTTTGAAGAAAGGTTCATCCACTGCCCAGCTGGCTGTGTCATCTCAGAGGGAACCAAAGGGACGGAGCATTGAGGAAAAGGAGCCCTGCTCCCTCCTGCCTCCTCCAGGGCTTCTATGGAGAAGGGCACACAGCCCAGGTCCCTATGAGAGAGCTAGAGCCAGCAGGCAGCAGCCCCAGACAGCAGGGAGTGCTTCCGGCGCGGGGGGGTTGGGGGGGCGACGCAGGAGAAGCAGGAAGACTGAACCTCCTCTGACCCCAGCCCGCTGGAAGAAGTTTCACTTTTGAAAGGAGAAAGAGGTAAAGAAACATGAGTACTGGGCCACCTGTAGCCCACTTGATGCCTCCATGCAAATTAGAAAAAGGCACCCTTCTTCAAGACACTTCCAGCAGACACACATCGTCCTAACATTTGAGAAAACAAGCGCTTCACTTTCATCCACTGGAGAACTGTCATGAGAAACTCTCGGTGGTGAAGGGCATCTCCTGAGAAGGAGTCCCGTGCCACAGACTGCGTGTGACAGTCCTGCTCACAGGTGTCTGTGAATTTTACAGATGAGGAGGCTGAGCCGAGAGAGTATGGAGAACTCAACCAGGGTCTTACAGCTGGTTAGGGGTGAATTCAGGCTCAGTCAGTCTGACTCCAGAGCCCAAACTTCTCACAGTTAGGTCACTCTGTATTTGCTGGAAATGTTTGTTTCTCTATGATGCCTTCTTCCACCTCACGAAGTCGAATTGGCCATTTCCTCCTCCGTTCCAGGCTGCCTGCTCTTGGACTTTATACAGCTCTCCACCAAAGCCTTGCCCTGCTGAGTGAATTTGGTAAGTTTCACTCTGTCTCTACCCCTCGACTGTGAGCAAATTCTTCAGGGGCTGTTGGGGAGAATGCGGGGTGCCATCTGTGCCCCCACAGTTTGGCACAGAGTCTGGCACAAAGCAGCAGCTCAGGAATAATGGATGAAAAGAAATGAATTTGCACATGAGGGGATTGGACCCACTGCTCTTGCAAGACCCCTCCAGCTCTGACCTTCCGTGAATCCATGACTCAGGGTTGGATTCTTAGACCTCTGCCAATGCTGGGGAGCAGAAACCACAGCGACTGGGCCAGAGCAAGTCAGGATGAAGGGTAAGTGACAGAAAATAGCAATGACATCTGCTCAGGAGATGTCAGAGTGATTAAATGGGAGTTAGTCTAGCATGGAGTTTCTTGGAAGGCTCACATAAGCCCATTAAATCCCACTGAGTGCCCAAGAGTTCCCTAGGCAGAGCAGCTGGAGAAGTTGTCGAGCTCATCACCGACTCTGAAATCCCCCAGATGCTCCTACATTAATAGGTTTTCAGGCAAGGAAGAAAAAAAAAATACCAATGGGCTGTCATTCTGGAATTAGAGTGCATTAACAACACTCTCACTGGGAAGAGGTCTGGGGCTTTTTGCCAGTTTCAATTGTGTCCAAGGATACCCCATGTACATAGGACTTCTGTAGTGAAATGTGAGTAGGAGCTCAGGGGAGAGACAAGACACAGCGAGTGAGGGCCCTGGTTCTATCCCCTTCTGTTCGCTTTAATGAAATGTAACCAAGCTGCCACCATAGACGGGACCCTGCCATGGGGCAGAGGGAGTTCGGCTGGATCTTGAAGAGCCAGTGCTGTCTCTTGTCACTGGATCTTACTAGGATCTGAGCTAATCTGGGGCAGCTGATATTCTACGACTGGCATTTGATGTTGGATTTAATTTCCTTATAATTCTGTTGATTTCACTCATCGTTTGAAAAAATAATTCCCAATATATTCAAAAGATTTTAAGTTGATCTCCCCCCTTCATTAATTAACTCAGTCATCCAATACGTTTTTACTGAACATCTGCCATGTGCTCCTGGGCCAGCTCAACATCACCTTCACTTTGTCCTTTTCTTCTTCCAGACTCTTGGCCTTGGCAGGTTGTCTTCACTGTACCAGCAGTGAGCTCCCTGGGCCATCCTAGGCCAGAGGTCCTGAAGCAATCTTTTGCTGGCCTCTGTCTTGTCTGGACCAAAACCCAAGAATCAAGCGGGACTGTGCCTCTCAGAATGTAGGAACGGGGATATTTAGCTGCTGCTTGGGCCTGAGGGGCAGCTTCCTGACATGACAGAACATGCAGGATGGAGACACACTGGGGGCAGGAGGACCTTCAGGCCCTTTGTCATTGCTCTAAGGACTGTCAGCTCAGACTCCACATCTTCTTCCTCGCAGAGGACATAGATAAGTAACGATTGTTACTACTCTTTAGAAAAGAATGACGAAAATATATGAAGAAGATGGTAAAAATCCCCAGTGATTCCTTTTAACATTTTGGTCTTTATTATTTCAGTTTTTAAAAATTCATATATAGACATATACATCTATCTTTACAAATATAGGATTATTCTGCATTCCATTATGACTCACTTTCAAAACATAACTTATTATGACTATTTCTCCATGTCTTGTATTTCATAGTATTGCCTAGTATGGATCTAACAGTATACTTAAGTTATCTCTCTATTGACTCTTTTTTTTTCTTTTTTGATACAGGATCTTGCTCTGTCGCCCAGGCTGGAGTGCAGTGGTGCGATCTTGGCTCACTCCAAAGTCTGCCTCCTGTGTTCAAGTGATTCTCGTGCCTCAGCTCCCCAAGTAACTGGGACTGCAGTCACGTGCCACCACACCTGGCTAATTTTTGTATCATTAGTAGAGACAGGGTTTCACCATGTTGGCCAGGCGGTCTTGAGCTCCTGACCTCAAGTGATCCGCCCACCTTGGCCTCTCAAAGTGCTGGGATTAAAAGCGTGAGCCACCGAGCCCACTTCTATTGACACTTTAAGTTATTTATAATATTTTTTTCTACTAGGCAAAAGATGAATTTTTAAAAGAGATCGTGCGCATTTCCTGCTTATTTCCTGACTTATTTTATATCCCTTTTTCCTGTTTTATTCTTCTGTGTTTCTACAGCCTACATGTCAGCCAAGCCAGAATTCTGGAGTCCACCCTGACCCCTGTAAACCAAAACGTGTCTGAGACAGGTCTCAATCAACTCAGAGGTTTATTTTGCCTAGGTTAAGGACCATGACCCATGACGCAGCCTCAGGAAGTCCTGAGAACACGTGCCTAAGGTGGTTGGGTTACAGCTTGGTTTTATATTACACATTTTAGGGAGACAGAAGTTTTTCACAAAGACATAAATTGATACTTGTAAGGTATACATTGATTTGGCCCAGAAAGGTGGGATATCTCTAAGCTGGGGAGCTTGCAGGTCATAGGTGGATTTAAAGATTTCCTGATTGGCAGTTGGTTGAAAGAGCTGATCTTTTCCTAAAGAATTGAGTCAGCAGAAAGAGAGGCATGCATTGAGATAAGGGGATCGGAAGCCAAGGTTCTTACTATGTTCTTGTTATATAGACAAAGCCTCTAAGTAAGCAGTAGATGGTAAATGTCTCTTATGGAACCTTAAAGGCTGTTAGACTCCCTAGAAAAGACCCAAGTAAGGGAAGGAGATTATTTACACAATGCACATTTCCCCAGCAAGAGACCAGCTTCGCAGGGTCATTTCAGGATATGTCAAAGAAATATATTTTGGGCTAAAATACTTAGATTTCTTTCAGGGCCTGCTATCTGTCATGCGATGCTATACCAGAGCTAGGTTGGAATTTGGTATCTTATTGCTACAAATAGTCTGTTTTGTCAGTCTTATGATCTCTGTTTTAATATAGACATTGGTCAGCTGTGCCTAAACTCCAAAGGAAGTGGTTATAAGGAGACATTTCAGACTTCCCTCTTCCTGTCATGGCCTGTACTAGTTTTTCAGGTTTTTGGGGGATCCCCTTGGCCAAGACGGGGGTCCATTCAGTCAGTTGGGGGGCTTAGAATTTTACTTTTGGTCTGCACCCCTCCCTATCTCTAACCTCCATATCCAATCAGTCACAGAGTCTTGTGGTCTCTCTTCCTCTCCAGGTCCTCAGCCCAGTTCAGACCTCAGCCATTGTCTCTGGACCATCACAAAAGCCTGGCCTCCTAGAGATTACCCTCCAAATTCCTCTTCCTCTCCATTCTGAGTCAGCTTGAACCAGGATGTTACTCAGTTTACTCAGCTACTGTCCTCCAGGGCAGACAAAGAAGCCAAAAGCTCCCAGTCTTGGCAGGGGAGGAGAACAGTGTTTAATGGGGATGACTGGAACCTGTGTTTTCAGGGGGCAGATCTCAGGGGAATCAGGGAGAAACTGATTATAGGCATCAGAAGGAGAAAAGACCTCTGTATCACTGGGTGCTAGTTGGAAGTCCTCAGAGGTCAGGATGCTGACTGGGCTGCCTCTACTGCTGGGAGTGTAGGCGCTGGCCATTTCATCTTGACCCTTCCACATAGCCCACATCCAGCCTACACATGCTTTAACAGGTTTTTACTCAGGCTGGAGGCCTGGGGCCCAGGCCTTCCCTGGAAAAACTCAGAATGGGATGCTAAGACTTAATTATGGGAAGACAAATGCCCTCAGGCCCCTGGCAGGAAAGGTTGTGGGTGTTTGAGGTTGCCTGCCAGAGCATGCAAACTCACTTGTGAGTTTGGTAATAAATAGCGTGACCCTGGTTCAAGATTTTTCTTTTCTTTTTTTTTGAGACAGGGCCTCATTCTGTCACCCAGGCTGGAGTGCAATGGTGCCATCATGGTTCACTGCAGCCTTAACCTCCCAGGCTCAAGCAATCCTTAGACCTTAGCCTCCTGAGTAGCTGGGACTACAGGCATGTGCCACCACACCTGGTGAATTTTTTTTCTTTTTGGTAGAGACAGAGTCTCCTTACATTGCCCAGGCTAGTCTTGAACTCCTGGGCTCAAGCAATCCTCCTACTGTAGCTTCCCGAAGTGCTGGGATTACAGGTGTGTGCCACTGTTCCCAGCTTGAGATTTTTCTTTAGTCCTGAGATGTGGCAGTGCTTCTTGGGTGCAGACGCATAGCAATCTTATGTTTTCTTTCTAATCAGGGCTAACTCAGAGCTTAGACCTAAGAAAACCCAAAAGGCCTTGTATTCCAGCCTCTCCATTCTCCACATAATGCTGACTCCCCAGAGCATTCCAAACAAAACGGCCCCTTCACATGCTCTTCGTTTCCTAGAAGTCTTTCTCCATCTTGGCACATATCTTTAGAAAGCTCTTCCTGGAATCTGTCATGCACCGTGAGGGGGAGGTGTTGTTTCATATCTATGCCTTCGCTTTGTAAGTCAGCTACGCCCTTCCCCCTCTTGTGCATCAGGGCAAACGCTTATTCTTTCTTCAAATCCCAGCCCCAGGTCACTTCCTCCATGAAGCCTTCCTTATGTTCTGCAGAACGAGTTGATTCCATTTCTCCCTTCCCCATCCCACCACCACAGATACTCCTGAGGGTAGTACCCTGGCTGACTCATCTCTCCATCTCTAGTGCCTGGTTCAGGGCTTGGCCAAGAGAGGAGGCATGAATGAAAGAATGAGAAGGGAAGGAAGGAAGACCTCAGACCACTTTATACAGCAATAGCCCCTGTACCACCCTCTGCGATCTGACCCAGGCCCCTGATTTTTCTAAGCACTTTTCTATTCCTGATCTTACTGGATCCTCATGGTGGCCCCAGTGTGGTTTAGGGTAGGGACCCACACCTTGATTGGCAAATGAGGAAGCTGAGGTTCCAAGAGGAGAAGTGACTCGCACAAAGTCACCTCAGAACTCCTGTGGGAAACCCAGAACTGCCTCCTTCCTTCCTCTCTTTGTTTTCCTCAGCTCCTCCCTCTGACTCATTTCCCATAGGGCTATGAGAGCAGAGCTGAAATTCCTGGTGGGATATGAAGGATTTGGGAACCCTGGAAGTCGTTCCTGGGCAGTGAGGTGTGTGGATGCGTACATGCAGGCTTCTCTGTGTGTGTGTGCGTGCCGGGGAGGCTTGGCACTGCCTCCTATGTCTCCCTCCCACCTCCTTCTCCTGGAAGAGGGGATGGGTGTCATGTGTCCCTGCAGTGTCCAGGCAGGACTAGTCATATCAGCAGATATGGGGGGAGGGGCGGAGGCTGCAGTGAGCAGAGATCATGGCACTGTACTCCAGCCTGAGTGACAGAGCAAGACCCTGAATAAAAAAAAAAATTAAAGAATATTATATATTCTTGAAATTATATAGTGTGTATGGTTGGAATGTTACATACCATTCTTATAGTGTGTAAAGATAGTATAGTATATTTCTTTGATTACATACCTACTGTTTTTTGTTACATGCTATATGATTCCAAGAATATTATATATTCTACATAATCTTAGTATTATTTCAATATTATTATATTATCAATATTATATACTATTAATCTATAACTATATAACATTATATAATATTAATGTTAATACATTATATATTGTTAGAATAATATAGTATATAACATTTTGGGATTGGATATATTTCATAATTCCTTTGAAACCTTTTCAAGTGTCAATAATGTGTTCCTTTACATTGCTATGCAGGATTTTATGGTATGGATATACTATGGCTTGTATACCTTTCACTTATTGGAGAGCATCAGAGTTGTTTCCCCTTTCTGACCATTACAGATGATTATGATGAAGGTTTGTGTCCAGGTTTCATGTGAATATGTCTTCATTTCTCTGGGATGAACGCCTAAGAGTGTGATTGCTGGGTCGTATGATGAGTGTATTGCTTAGTTTTATAACAAATTATCAGACTGTTTTCCAGAATGGCTGTGCCCTTTTGCATTCCCAGCAGTTATGCACAAGTGATCCACTTTCTCCACATTCCTGCCAGCATTTGGTGTTGTCACTATTTTTTATTTTAGCCACTATGGTAGGTATGTAGTGTTATATCATTGTGGTTTTAATTTGCATTTCACTGATGGCCAATTAAGTGGAACATCTTTTAATGTGATTATTTGCCTTTTGTATATTTTATTTGGTGAAATGTCTGTTCATGTTTTTTTGCCCATTTTTTGCCTGATTGAGATTTTGTTCTTTTTACTGCTGAGTTTTGAGAATTCTTTGTACATACTACATATAAGTTCTTTGTTGGACGTGTGGTTTGCAACTATTTTAGCCCAGCCTGTACTTTAATTTTTCATCTTCTTCACAGATTCTTTTACAAACCAAACTTTTAAATTTTGATGAGGTCCAATTTATCGATTTTTTCATTTGTGGAGTCTGCTTTAGATCTGAAGTCTAAAAATCCCTTTGCGTAGTCCTTGATCTTAAAGATTTTCTCCTATGTTTTTTCCTAAAAATTGTACCATTTTGTTTTACATTTAGATCTGTGATCCATTTTGAGTTAATTTTTATATAAGATGTGAGATAGGAATCAAATGTTTTAAAAATTTTTTTCCCTGTGTGCAGCTTGGTCTTTTTTTCTCTCTTTCTTCTTCTTTTTTTGAGATGAGGTCTCACTGTATTGCCCAGGTTGGACTCTGACTCCTAGGCTCAAGCAATCCTCCTGCCTCCACCCTCCAAAGTACTGGGATTACAGGTGTGAGCCACCGCACCTTGCCATGCAGCTGAATTTTTAATGGTTGCCAATATTCTGTCCTGAAACATAAGTTACTTAAACAGCCATGCTATTGATGAATCTTTAGAATGTCTTCAATATTTTTGCTTTTATAAGTAGCAAAATAAATATTATTGTAGCTAAATCTTTTACTTATCTATGATTGTTTCCTAAGAAGAGTATTACAGAAGTGAAATTACTGAGGCAATTTTTAGGGCATATTGGAACGTATTGCCAAATTGCTCCTCAGCAAGGTTTGTGCCAATGCTGTGTCTCAAGCTGGGTATGAAACAGCCTGTTCTCCTCCAAGCTAGGGACCACCTCCTAGACATAAAACAAAACAAAATCCTTAGTATTTAAATCTGTATTTCTTTGATTACTAAGGGCCAGTATGGGGGCAGCCACAGGGGTATTTTGGGTCCCTGATGCTCCTCTGTTCTTCTGAGGCAGGAATATAGGGTCTGGAGGCAGGGAACCTAAGGCCGATTCATGCTGGACTTCCTAGAACTAAATCAAATGGAAACACTTCGGCTATGACAGTTTACATAGGGCATACACCAAGTAACCAATGAAAACCTCTAGAGTATATTTAAACCCCAGAATATTCTGTAACGGGCTCTTGAGGCCCTATGCTCGACACCCCTATGGGGTGTACTTTCATTTTCAATAAATCTCTGCTTTTGTTGCTTCATTCTCTCCTTGCTTTGTTTGTGTGTTTTGTCCAGTTCTTTGTTCAAGACGCCAAGAACCTGGACACCTTCAACTGGTAACATATTTTGGTGAACCAGCCAGAGGTAAGCCCGAAGTTTGGAATTTATTTTTCTCCTTTCCACTTTCCTTTCTACTCTGTACAAGTGAGTCTCTCTCTCTCTCTCTCTCTCTCTCTCTTTTTGTTTCCAACTTGGGACGCTTGGTGGGCAGTGCCTAAACACAGAGGCAGCCACAGGCTTCTGGCTGGGGCCACTCTGAAGGACAATTTTTTATCTTTTCCAGTTGTGGTCCCTGATCCCTACATTTGGTGCAGCTCGGGCAAACTCTCATGAGTTTCAGGCGACTTACACCTTCTTTTCTTATGCGAAATTCTTCCCTTTCCCAGTCCACTGGCTAAGGGCAGAGAAACCCACCTAGCCTCCAGCTCCTATCATTAAAGCTCATGGAACAGGAAACATGGGAAAGCATGGCCTTATCAAGTTATAAGGATGCTAGAAGTCAAGGCCTTAATCCTGGGACAAAAGGAAAGCTCACAGTGGGCCATCGCCTCTGGTGGGAAAACTTGCAAGTGGCACCAGTGCCCACCTAAGGTCAGAGACGTCTGACACTCTAAGATTGGACCCCAAAGGGGGACACTCCGGGAGATCCTCCAGTCCTCAACCTCTCCAAAGCGGACGCCCTTGGCAGAAGTGCTGAGGCCCAGTACTAGGCCCTCTTACGAATTTTCTCTCACAGTTACAATACTGTTTGGCCCCAATCTTGTTTGGAATCTGAAGTTTGCTGTTGAATGGGAAAGTGGGATGGCGTTGCATGTGGCCAGGCTTTTGTGCTGCTGTTCTAAGTAGGGGGGCTGGTTAACCTGTGATGCTCTCCTTTGGTGCTGTTTGGGCCCAGTATTCTTTGGAGTCTGGAGAGGTTTGGCTTTAAAAATCAAACTGCCAAGGAAACTTCTGTACCTGAAATTTTGGTTCACAGCCTTCGTTGGATTACCTATTGGGGCAAAGTGAAACCAGTGAGCTTGTATTGCTATCTCATGGCTAGGATTCCAAGCCATTAGATCTTCATTCATGTGTGTGTATATGTCTAGATATCTTTATTTGTATGTAATTTATTGTTATATGTTGTGTCTATCAGATTGGCTGATAAGTAAAAGAGCGCTAATAAATTAAGCAAATAAGTCCAAGCAATCTTCAAGTTCACGTGGCTTAAGTATAACTTTACAAAACAAGCTGACTTTAAAATAATGGGTAAAATAAAAATAGAAATACCTTCAGAATTGTCAGCGTACATTTTTGTCTGGATTTTATATTTGTCTCTGCTAGATATTTTGAGATGTCAGGGTTTAGCATAGAAGGTTATAAAACTATAAACCCAGCTAAAACAAAATGATCTTGGTTTGTGTGCCTTTTTTTGACAAATGAGAGTAAGTTAGTATTAGCTAAATCTTTTGATTTTGAGTTGTTGGCAAAAATACCCATGTATTTAACTTTGAGGCTCTTACTTAGGTTTAGGTGAGCATTTGATGTTCTCTGGTGATTAAAAACATGGTTAACAAGGAAATAACTAACTTCAAATGATAGTGTCCAATATCTCAGTTTACAGAAGTAATCTAGATAAACTGTTTAAAAATGAGGGAATTGAGTCCATGTACATGGGATAAATGTTTTAGGTAAACTTTTTGCATAAATTAAAATCTTAAGATTATTTTTGATGCTCATTGAATATATGAGTCATTTCCAATTGAGAAAGGGTTATGATACAGGAAAACATGTTTCTAAAATTATGGAATTGTTCTTGTCTATAAATGCCCATAGCTGATGGTTCAGGATTTCTTGCTTTTTAGAGTCTCACTAAAGTTTTAGGTTACTAAACATAAGAATTCTAGTTAACACATAATTCTGTATACAAAATGTGCCCAAAAGGGTTATGTTATTAGTCAGAAAAGAATCATTTTGTCTAATTCAGAAGTTATCTAAAAGTTGGTTCAAATTACAGATTTGAAAAAGTTATTTATGAAACAATGTAGTAAAGAACTAGTAAGTAGGGGGTAAGGGTGTGGAAATGTTTAGATAATAGAATATTATTTAAAACCTGATAGAGAATTGGAGACATTTGGCTAATTAACATTTCATAGTTAAAGCTCTTAGTCTTGATTAAAATAAAACAAATATTGTAAAGAAATGTATTGGCAGTTTGGCAGTTCTTTTTTACATATGGTTAGGCATGAAGCTCGATTTAGTGTGCAGCCAAATTACACATACATGCTTGCATTGCTTCACACTATGTTTACTGTTTTGCATGCATAGTGCTGGCACTGGAGTACCTATTGGTCATGTGCCTAAAGTGAATTTCTTGATTGCACAGGATGTATGATGATATTGGTGAACTTAAGGATATTGAATTGTGTATCAAGAATAAAATATTCATCATGTGGGTTTTTGGGGGCCCTGGGTAACACCATAACCTCCACGGTAGATTGAATAAGAAAAATTCAGGGTTGGTTTCCTGTTTATTTGTTTTTGCTTCTAATTTTCACTTGTTTGCTGCTTATTCTCCTCTGGGCTTTGCTTGTGTATGCATGTATATATAAAACCATGAATATTTTTAGTTTCTAGTGAAAAGGTTTGATTTTATTCTGTGGATAGTTATTTTGTTTTCTATGTGTTTCTAGCAAGTCATCATCGGTTCTATTTAGCTGAAATTCGTAGGCTACCTTTGTCAGGCTTTCAGGAATTAATGGAACATACCAGCTTTTTAATCTTAAACTGACTTTTTAGAGTTAAGCTTCCTGATATGTTAAGTGTGTTGAGCATACTTTCGTAAATAGAATTTGAGTCATATTTCTCTCTCTGCCTAATTTTTCCAAAATTTGTAAACTATTTGCGCATATTCTTAATTCACAGCAATGTGTTTGTTTGCATACAGTTAAGCAGGGCCACTAGGGCCACTCAGGGAGAAAGAACTCAGAAGCCTGACATACCGGCAAAAGGGTAAGAATTTCTTACCAGTCAGACTCTGGCTTCTGTCTCTCTGTGCAAACTGGTTAAATAAATCGTAAAAGTCACTGTTTATCTCCTCTGCAAAGTTTTGATTAACACGAAAAAAGAATCCTGAGGCTGGTCTTAAACTGTAGTGAATCCAGTGTGCTTTATGTGTCTTTCTATATTGTTCTGTTATAAAGAGGGGTACCTTAGGATAAAATGTGTGCCTAGGAACCTATAGGCTCACTATTCAAGGCTGCCCAGCAAACTGGTCAGTCATGTCCTTGGGAGCTTGACCTTGCAACCATGTGGCCGTGCTTTCTCTATTCACAATGGTGGCCCAGGTTTAGGGTTCAATTCCTGGCTTAGGGAATGAGTCCTTTATCTTCTGGCTGTCTGTTTATTTATATGTGTTGTGTATGTAATATAAAAGAGCTTTAATTAATTGGTTTAATAATAAGAGTGTTGCGGGAAGTCAGGGACCCTGAACAGAGGGACCGGCTGGAGCCGTGGCAGAGGAACATAAATTGTGAAGATTTCATGGACATTTATCACTTCCCTAATAACACTCTTTTTCTTATGCCTGTCTTACTTTAATCTCTTAATCCTGTTGTCTTTGTAAGCTGAGGATGTACGTCACCTCAGGTCCACTGTGATGATTGCGTTAACTGTATAAATTGATTGTAAAACATGTGTGTTTGAACAATATGAAATTAGTGCACCTTGAAAAAGAAGAGAATAGCAGTAATTTTAGGAAACAAGGGAAGACAACCATAAGGTCTGACTGCCTGCAGGGTCGGGCAAAAAGAGCTATATTTTTCTTCTTGCAGAGAGCCTATTAACAGACATGCAAGTAGGAGAGATATCACTAAATTCTTTTCCTAGCAAGGAATATTGATATTAATACTCTAGGAAGAGAATTGCATTCCTCGGGGGAGGTCTATAAACGGCCACGCTGGGAGTGTCTGTCTTATGTGGCTAAGGACTGAAATACGCCCTGCTCTCCCGCAGTACCCTCAGGCTTATTAGGGTGGGGGAAAATCCCACCCTGGTAAATTTGAGGTTAGACTTGCTCTCAAACCCTGTTTTCTGTTGTTTAAGGTGTTTATCAAGACAATACGTGCACAGCCGAACATAGACCCTTATCAGGAGTTCCTGATTTTGTCCTTGCCCTTTTCGTCAGAAGCATGTGATCTTTGTTCTCCTTTCTGCCCTTTGAAGCATGTGATCTTTGTGACCTACTCCCTTTTCTTACACCCCCTCCCCTTTTGAAATTCCTAATAAAAACTTGTTGGTTTTGCGGCTCAGGTGGGCATCATGGTCCTGCGGATATGTGATGTCATCCCAGGTGGCCCAGCTGTAAAATTCCTTTATTTTTACTCTTTCTTTTTATTTCTCAGACTGGCCAACACTTAGGGAAAATAGAAAGAACCTATGTTGAAATATTGGGGGTGGGCTCCCCTGATATAGGAGCTTAAATATTTTGTCAGAAAAGTAGAACATGTAATGCATTTTATTTTATTTTATTTTATTTTATTTTATTTTTGAGATGGAGTCTCACTCTGTTGCCCAGGCTAGAGTGCAGTGGCATGATCTTGGCTCACTGCAACCTCTCTCTGCCTCCCAGGTTTAAGCGATTCTCCTGTCTCAGCCTCTTGAGTAGCTGGGACTACAAGCATGAGCCACCGTGCCCAGCTAATTATGTATTTTTAGTAGAGAGGAGGTTTCACCATATTTGTCAGGCTGGTCTTGAACTCCTGACCTCAGGTGATCCACCCACCTGAGCCTCCCAAAGTGCTGGGATTATAGGCATGAGCCACTGCACCTGGCCATTCAATGCCTTTTATTTAGTTCATGTGACTTAAGCAATCTTTGGGAACAAAGACAGTTAGAAAGATTATTGGCAAAATAAAAATATCTTCAAAAAATGTAAACATTTGGCTTAAATTATGCAGGTCAGATACTAGGTTTGCTAAATACTTTAGGTCATAAACTACTTCTCTCACTTTTAAAAATTGTTCAATTTATTTTGGAGCATTATATTCTAGATAAGGCCTGGGAATGTGTGAAATTAGCCATGCCCCCTAGCTATGCAAAGAAGGTTATAAAGAAAAGATATTTTACATACAAAAGGATCTTATATGGTAATTTTTTGTCCTAAAGTAAAATAATTGGTTGTTTAAAAGAGGGATGTTTAGGACAAGTCAGAAAGTCCAAGCATGTCATACATTGTTTGTGTATGACATGAAAGAATTTATGGAAGAGAATTTATGCAAGAAATGTTGTACAATTTAAAGGTGATTAGGCCACCTAAATGCTTCATAAAATGACACCATGACTCTTAATTGTACAACCTGCCTGCTTTACAGCTAGGTAAGACCTGGGACATGCGGAGTTAGACACTGGAAGAAGTCAGACCTTATCTGCACTTCTGTGTGGGTCTTAGGCTCCACTCCTTGTACATAATTAAAATCCTAAACTTACCAAGGTTTTCACCAAAAGTAAAGTTGCAAAGAGTTAACACTGTAACATGTAATCTAGACTACTGAAGAAACTGTTTTACATATAAGGTGTGTAAGAAAAGTAAAATGTGTTTTTAGTAAAAGATTATAAGAAGGCATGGGAATGTGAATTTGGTTTTTTTTTTTTTTTGCCAAGTGTTAAAGAATTATTTTAAGTTAAGATAAAGCTAAAGGTTTGAACAAGTTGTGGAAGGTTTTTAAAAAATAAATATTATAAAAAATTCTGTGTGTGAAATATTAACATATGTTCCAAAATTGTATGGGATTTCTAAAATTCTAATATATCTGAGTATATGCTATCAATCATAATTATGGTTATTATGTTAACTGATTGTAAACCACAGAAATAACCAAATTTCCTTGTATAAAGCTACTAACCCAAGTAGAACAAAAAATTAATTAAATACCAAGAAAATATTTTGTCGGATTTTCATGTTTAACCAGCTGATACTGAAATTGTTTAGATATATAATTTGAATGAACTCCATGGTCTAAGTCAAATTACTTATGATAATCCATCAATTACCAGTGCTATTCACATAATTTGAAGAAACAACTGCCATTCAAGAGGATATAAATTTAACTAATCTAAAGTCAACTAAGCATGGACTCATGGAGAACCAGGATGACCACGTTGTCCTTCCTGAGTCCTTCAAGTTTTTATTATTAAAAGTTCTGCATTCCACGACTCATCACGGAAAAGATAAAATGATCCAAATTGAATATATTGGTGTGGTGACTTATAAATTGCTAAAATAGATTATAACCAA